ATAGCTCTATAAAGTTACTAGTCAGATTTTTTTAAAACCCCTTAGATAAAAAGTTATAACCATTTAAAAAATTGAAACACTTTGTGTAACTATTGAGTATAGATTTCCTGTACCATAGAAGGAATAACTCTCATGACGAACAATAATAATGAAACTGCTTGTAAACGAAGTCACAAGGCAGTAAATTATTGTGAGTTACTAGACCTTCCATGTAACAGTAGTCATGGGATAGTGCTATAGTGGAAAATTAGTTATTTAAGTAATCTGATAATCTATCAGTTCTTTGTTCTTGATTTTTTCTGCTCAACATTTTTTTGTCTAGCTAACTCTCCCACCATATTCCAAAAAAAAAAAAAAGAAAAAGAAAAAAAAGAAGAAAACATGTGAAACAAAGCTGATCACGCGACATCATGCGGCTTGGTCATAACCCTTATCCTATACTGTACTACATCGTTTAGGCACAGATGTATTGTTGCCCATGGAAGTTCTTCATTCAAATAGAAGAAATAACTCCCATGACGAACAATAATAATGTGTAGTTATCAAATATCTGCCACTCTGGGTCTGGTAAGTCTGGGAGTTGCATAATATATTCAGGAATAGAGTTAATTGTAAAGTGTGTCTTGAGTTTAGTTAGTAGGTCAGTAACTAAGGAGTGGTTTGTGATTGGAAGCTGATCAATTAAGGTAGGTTCAAGTTGTGATTTTAGACTGTTAAAAGTAGTCGGAAGAGGAGGTTTTAGATTTGGATTTGTAGACTTTTTAATTTTGATCCAACTTTCTAGGATTTGGTAAAAGTAATAGTGTTTGCATAGTTCTCTAGCTATTTCTACAAGTTGTTTTGGAGTTGAGATTGGGATAGTAAGGTTCATTTCTTTAATTTGATTAGGATCGTTTGGGAGATTAGGTTTAGAGGTAGGGTTAACTGACAGGTATCCTGGTGGAAGAGGTAGTGAAAAGCAGTACTGTTGTTCAATCTCTTTTATAAATTTGTTTGCAATTGCCTTGTCACTAATTGGGTACATATAGCTAATTTTAATTTTTAAAAAGTCAGGGTTACGTGGTAAGTGAGCTTTTTGTATAATATAGTCATTAGGTAATCTTCTAAAGCCATAGTGTGGCCTAAGTATATTCATGTAAGTTAGAAGTTCGTTTCTGTTTTTGGAATTACAAAGGAAGTGTTTGTGGAGGTTATAAGATAATTGTTGAGGTGTTGGAGGAAGTTTGGGTTTAGGGTCTGGCAGTTTAAAGTAGTTAGGAGAGATTTCTTTAACAATATAGAACTTTGATAGTTTGCGACGATATTTGGCTAGATATAGTAAGCAGGCACATTTAGTAATTGGGAAGAGTTTTTTTAACTCTAAGTTAAGATGTGCTGGATTATCAGAAAGGTCTGTTAAGGGATTAGCAAAAAAGTTTTGAAATAAAGTCTCAAAATTATAAATCTTTCATAGGGCAGCTACTATTCCTTTAGTGTGATCATGATTAGCAATTGGGAGTTCAAAAGGCAGAATTGTAATGATGTCTTCTGGTATATATGTTGTGCCTCAGATTAATGCTTGCGTCAGATGTCAACTTTTTGGCCCGCATTAACTGATCGATATTGATTGACTTAAATTAAGCCCAAATCCTTCCCAGATTCTTACCCTAACCCTAATCTAACTTAGGCCGGTTTTAATCTGACGCAAGAATTGATCTGAGGCACGACATATATGCAATAGATTCTGGTAAAGATACTAGGTGTTCAGTATATGCTTTCCTGACTAGCTTTCTGATGTCTTTGAAGCTTATTTTATTCTCGATATTTGCAAAGTTTAGGCAGTAAAAGATTTTTTGTGTGAAGTTGTGAGGGTTAATTTTCAAACAGTCTATATTGGTGATATAATTGATAGCTAGTTTCTTTTTTAGTTTGGCCAAGATTTGATTATGGTTATGTTTGTTAATGAAATGTGTATCATGAATATATTTATATATTTCCAATACCACATTGTATAGTGCTTCAAATTCTTTTTGATATATTGGAGCTATTGATTTGTCTCTAGAAAAAAATCTGAAAAATGCTGTATCATAGTGGTCAAATTTTGCTGAGATAGCCAAAGGTAAGTTGTAAGATGTAGGTTGTTTGTTGATTTTGTATTTTAGAAAATTCAACAGTTTGTTTGTATCTGTGAATGCATCTATAATAGAATCATTATGCCATTCATTAGAATTAAACGGGTCTAGACGTTGGGCTAAGGCTTGAGCTATTGATATGCACCATAATGATAATAGGTTTGTAAATACTGGTTTTGGGTTTAATGTATTTGTAAGTGCTTGACTGTAGGACTGGCGTGTTGGTTGAGATTTGATTGTATCAGTTGATTTGACTTCAGTTTGGTTATAGACTTGATTATCGGTACTTTGGTTCAAATTAACAGGTATGTATGTCTTTAGAGATGATGTCGTCAGCTGGGGCTGCTAATAATTTGGGGTTGTCTTGATTAGGTGGTATCCAGTTAGATTGGCTCGGTAACTGTGCATCTGAAATGGGTTTGTTTACATTTGAGGGTGGAAAAATTTCTATTTGAGTGGGTTCTGGGGTTTGACTAATTGGGTTTGTTGTTGTGTTTGTTTGGTATGATGTTATTCCATAATCAGCAAGAGCTAATTGATCAAGTTGACCCACTTTTGATATATTTTCAGGTAATGTTAGTTCGATTGAGCTAGTGGTATAAGTAGTTTTATTTTTCTTTGTAGCAGGACGTGGTGTAGAGTGATCATTGTATATGGGGCACTAGCCTCTCTAGAAATCGATTTAGATACTGGTTGAGATAGAGATTTCCTTTGTACCATGTTGAATTGATACTCCCAAAGGAGTAGTTTGAAAGAGATTAGTGTTTCAAAAGAGTTGTGATTCCTTTTCCTGTTAGCTATAGTGAAAATGAAGTAGTGAGCCGAAAGGTAACAATAGCGATGCTAGTAGCAGCTCTAAAGCAGGATTACTCTTATTTAGAGTCTATTGACTACAAAATTTGTATTATAATTAATTGTTTACAATTTGTTATGATTTTTAAGGAGTACAGAAAAGAGTTTTTGTACCCCCAATCGGTAGAATTGAATATTGCATTGTTAGTTTTAGTTAATTCTGTAAATTCTAAGAATGGTTGGTCTGTTTGTCTTATAGTTGATAAGGTTATTTAATAGTAGATAGTTTAAAATTTAGTTGATTGGCAATTATATTTGGATTGTATTGTAGAAGTTAATAGGAAAAAATTGAATTGTTAATAATATTAGATTGGTAGTATTAATGAAGCAGTTTATTGAAGGCAGTTGAAAATAAGGCCATGTAGTTTGAATAGAATTTGATTGTATATTTTGTAGAAGTTGTGTGAACTAGCGGGGTTGACAACCTCTAGTTGCTTTGTTTGTACAAAAGTAAATATTGTTTCAAGGTAATAAGAAATTATTATTTGCTATTGTAATTTGTTTAATAAAGAGAATTTTGTTATTTTTAAGACTATTAATTGTAAGGTTATCAGAAGGTGTTGGGAGTATGTCAAAAATTTGATGTGTATGTTCTGAAATAGAAGGAGAGAAGGTTGCGATTTGAGGAATAGAAGAGATTGTGATATTGTTTTTAGCTAGTTGTAAAAGGTTAAAGAGAAGAGTATAGTTTTGTGTTTTATGATAGTGAAGAAGAAGTAATTCCTTTAATAGATTAGAGGACTAAACTTTATATAGCCAGGATTTAATACGTGCGATACCAATATTATAGAGAAGTGGAAAAATATTAAATGTTCGTTTAATATTTGAGGCACTAACTTTTTATATTATGTTATTAAAAGTGGGTAAATTAAAGATGAGTGAATTAGTTATTGCAATATTGTTAGTGTTATTAGAAAGTGAAAGCATTTTTTTTGTTTGTATAAAAGACAGGAGAGTTTGGTTTGAATATTTTTGTGTATTGGAATAATTTGTAATGGATATTCTAAAGAGGGTTGTAAGATAAGGTTGAATAGTAAGAATATTTGGAAAAGTAGCAGTTTTTTATAACGAATAAGTATTAAAAAGTTTTTTATTTTGTTGTATATTGTGTTAAGAGTTGGTTTGGATGAGCCAGAACCATCATAATAGATACCTAAGTATCTAATTATGTCTGTAGATTTTGTAGAAGAAATTAAATATAAAGATATGGTTTATTGTTTTTGAATTTTTGAAGAGAATATAAAGTAGATCGGATTTAGTTGGGTTGACTTCTATGTTATTAATTTTGTATAAAGAAGAGGCATTATTAAGAATATCTTGTAGATCTTCAGAGTGTTTGCAGTGCCAAACTGCATCATCTATATAGGCTAGTGGTGGTATAGTAATAGAAGTATCGAGTGAAAAGAGTGTAGATATTTTAAGGAAAGAGTTGCTGTATTTTTGAGAGATGTAAGTAAGGATAGAGTCATAGTAAATCTTTTATAGAAAAGGAGAATATGTTTCTTCTTGTTCAATGCTAGATTTAATTTGAATTAGTGATGTAAAACCATGTGCAGTAATTACTTTGGCTAAGCAGGAGGTATGTAGTTCAGTAATTAGATTTATACAATTAATTGGGATACTAATCTTGCAACAGGCATCTTGTAGATGATTAATATTGATCTTGTCAAAAGCTTTAGACATGTCTTAAAACAGTATCTATGCTTCTTTATTATGTGAAATGTAGTGTTCAATTTTATTGTGAAGGATTTGGATTAGAGTATGTGTTGAGAGGTTTTTGGATGCTGCAAAGTTGAGATTTGAAAGGAGATTGTTTGAGGAGATTATTTTATCAAGTTGATTGATAAAAATCTTAGTAAAGATTTTTTTAAAAGATAAGGCGAACTTGATTTAGTGTAAAATCCCAGGTAGATTTTTTTGGAATTAGGAAAATATTAGAGAATTTCTATTTTGATGGTATTTTTCTAAGTTGAAAGCATTTATTAATAAATGCTTTAAAAATATCTTGTAAAGAATTACTAGCATGTTTGATGTGTTCATAGCAGATTTCAGAGGGACTAGCTGCTTTTTGATTAGGAAGAATGGAAATTGTTTCAGTCTATTCTTGTTCTGAAATAGCTTTAAATAGATTATGATAATATATTTCAAGTTCAAGATGTGGTTGATATAGTTGATAGAATTCCGAAGATATTGAATATAGAGGTTTTTCAGAAAAGTATTCAGTAAAGTGGTAATGAATTTTGGTTAGGATTTCAGTGCACTCAGTGAGCAAATTGTTATTAGTGAGGAGGCGATTGATATTAATATTATTGTAATTTTCCTATAAAATAGTTTGGGTGCTTTAATAACCTTTAACTTCAACGTATCTAAAAAGAAACAAACTACTCCTTATCTAAATATCTTTTAAGCAACTCAATC